GCAATAGACAAACCACTGTGCAACTGCAACGGCACGCGATAAGACGAGGGTCAAACCATCAAGTGTTTGTATGGCTGTACTAAAGAGATCGATACCGGTTCTTTCCAGAAGCCTGCCAGATAACGGGAATGATGCGCAATGGGTACGTTCTCCTGTTATCGAATATAATGCATTAAGCCTCTCTGTACACAAGAAAATATCGTTTCCGACATTGCATTGCTATATGATTCGATTTCTCTTTGTGTAAGCTACCCTTTACAGAAACTTGTTTGTGTTTAACTGAACCATTCGGCATATATAATTATATATATATTATAATTTCTAAGATTAAAAAAAATTAAAATACATTAATTATGCGCTAGTTGCTATGTATTATATATAACTACTGTAGGCAATCATTGAGATAAGTCCGTATTTTTAAGAGCATTCAAACGAATTTCAGACAAATTACATTTTATTTCTTTGTAAGGAATGAGTTTTTTTCTATAATTAATCGATATTAACTTTTCATTAAACAACGAATCAAAATAAATAATGTGATAGTTTTTATTACCAAATAAAATGATGGGTTTAATTAAAAATATGAAAGTGAAATCGAAAAATGGGTTAGAAAGGAGTCAAAAGAAAGCTAAATTTTTGTGAAACCATTTGCGTGAAAAAAAAAAGCTTATTCCGCGCGAATATAAGGATTTATTATGAATTGCAATAGTCGACTAAAATTTAATTGTATTAAACATCTTAAAAGCAATAATCTTGTTTGCATGTCAGAAAAAGTTAAAGACCTTCCCTTTAAAATTTGAAACTGGGTTCGCCCACTTCTGATTTTTAGTCAGACCATAACTGGTGTTTTTTATCGTCACAAAACAACATTAAAATATTCTTTGAAAAGAAAATATCTCACAAGCACAATGCCGTAAAAATATGAAAACGTGCATTTTGAGCTAAAACTGGTGTATGCAGAAAAAAGAATGCTAAGTGTTTTAAAAAAATGCCAGAGAAAAAAGAAGGCACAGTAAAAATTATGAGTTAAAAATCGATTTTATAAAGGGCAAGTCCACATGGAAAAAGCGATAATAAAACGGTCTGGAAAATGAAGTAAGATTTTAAATGCTGAACCTATCTGGAGCCAACTTTTTGCACTCAACAGCTTACTAATTGCATTACAGATGAATTTCCAGAGGACAGTTCTTCAAAAATACATTTAGTTTTTCCTGTCAGCATCTGCTGTCCTTCCAGTTAGCTGTAAGGAAAAATAATTTAGCACAAAAAGATTACATATTCATTTCCATTTTAGCTTTTCATGGAAAACTTTTACTCATCCATTCTTTCTAGCTTTTAGTTCTCCCTCTGCTCTCCAGCAAAATGTACTGAACGGAAGAGCGTGTGTCTTTGTACATGTAATTTTAACACTACCACCTAACCAAAATCCAACATTTTAATAACTAGAACCTCAAAAACACGTTGAATTCTAAACTGTTCTTAATGTACTAAGCAAAATAGGTTCACTAAACTTGGTGGTTCTGCACGCTGGGCCGGTATTCCAGAGGTCCGTAGTTTGATTCCCGGCGAAGGCGTTTGCTAATTTTTCAGTTCTCCTGCTTCCAAAAAATACCTAATGTCCGTACAACTTTTGCTCTTTACACATACTTTAGCAGAAACTTTTACGTTTACAAAACTAATTTATCGAACATACTTCATGAAACATTTTCACTTCATTGAAAAAAAATGTTACTCAGTTTGCCCTTCACATCATAATACACAGAGTTGTTTACAATAATTCTACAGATACGCCAAACTTCTCCTAAACAATCTCTTGGACTGAAATCAGAAATCTTATCACTTAAAATCTCTGCGATAAGTGCATAATTAAATTAAAAGCTTCTTGCTATGTAACAAACCGAAATGTCTTCATTTGAGGCTAAACTTACGATAATTAGCAACTGCTGCACTTTAGACATAGAGTAAAAACTGAATATTTCACTTATCTTTTGCTTTCCTGGTAATCGCTCATCCGTTCATCGACGAAGCCGCTCCAGGGGGAATATGCTGCAGCTTGATGGATCCTCACTTGCCGACGTGGCCTCTGTTCGCCTTCCAAATGCTCTGGCAGTTTCTGGAATATTAGAAATGATACATGTTATACAGTTTACTTCTTTCTTCTATCATAAATTTTAACCAAGCTCTAGCTAGACTGACAACGAATTATCGCTAAAGATATAGGGTTTCCCTTATTTTGCATAACAATTTTTTTTTAAGTTTGATACCTTTCCCGAACTCCTCAAATTCCCCTCACATTTTCTCGCCAGGATGTAAATTTAAAGTTAAGTGAAAGTTAGTATTTAAATGGGTGAATCTCTCAGTTTATTCACAGCGTGTTTTGACTAGCCAGCGCACTTTTCGTTGCTATCTCGTTGTTACGCTAGTAAACCTCTTGGCTATTTCGGATTATCGTCACGCCTGTTAGGTTTCTATTGAGCAACCTGTTAAGCGTAACTTAATGCGCTAATCCAGCACTATTTTATTTTAGCTTTTGACTTGAATTATATTCTACGTTTCAGTTTCACCGCAAGTTGACGGTGCCATTGTAAAGCAGAAAAATCGCGCCTTTCTGTTAATTATTTGATTAAATAAAGGGCTATTTTCACCCTTCTTCTGTGCTGGTAATTTATTCACGCCTGTGCGAGAATTCACGAGGTTCATTGTAGGATCTAATTTAGTTTATGGGGAATAGCAGAGACAGATTTTCCAAGTTTAAAATAACAACTGAGCCTTCAGAAGGATGTAAAAGCTCCTTATTTAAAACTAAATAAGAAAAGTAAAGGTCTAAATTATAAATAATTTTGTTAATTAACATAAAGAAACTCTACAATGCGTTTTTGGATAATGCGGTTTTCCTTTTTTAACTTGTAATCGAAATTTCTGAAAAAATGAAGTAATCTGAATTATCCAGCTTAATAGATCTTGATAAGCAAAAAATGCGTATTTTTATTCCATTGAAATGTTCTTTTCATTATAAATTCCAGGGAATTTAAAAAATTCTTTTGTTGAAAAAAAAAACTACTTGCAATTATTTAGAGGCAATAATTCAATGGGGTATTTAGAGAATTTCTTACATCAGGAAACACTACCAGTGTATTCCTCGGTTAGAAAGGAAACATTAAATTTATGACGCAGTGAAGAGGAAACGTAAAATAAAGTTTTTCAAATTGGTAAATGTTTTACGGCATTTTTATAAGTTTTAATACATGTGTATAAGCAAAGGTCTTAGGAAGTGAGCACAAATGTTTTCTTTGATTTCCATGTTGATCATCTTATTGGTTATTATTACTAAATCATTACAACTGCGCATGTCAACGTGTCTAATTTATCAGCTTTAACATTTAATATTCTTTTGATTTTGTTATAATTTCATCACCGATTTAGCATCGTGGAAGTTCTAAAATTCTTGTTCTGTACATTTTTATGTCATAGCGTGCCTGCGTGTACGCTTAACGCATTAATGTGCTTCCTTGTCTTTGTAGTTTTTTTTTGTCTTATCAATAAATGCCGTCTGATCTGCCTCCCCGGCCGAACGTCAACTGTTCTTGCGGTTTTCGCGGGGAAGACGCGTACGCACTTCATTACCTGCTCTCCTGCCCTCTGACAGAGCACCTTCGACAGCAGTTCTTTCCTTCCGACTACATCACATATCCTGTGAATAGACTGTTCACGGATTATTATTGCAACAAGGGCATCTTAGAGATAATGAAGCAAGTGAATGAAAATAATTATATCCAAGAACTAAAGATTAATGTAAAATGGAGAAAGGCGGCCTAACCGTCAGATTGCTAGCAATGACTAAAATGATTTCCTAACCCTGTAGTGTTATTAACTTAGTTCGGCGGAACAGGTTAAGTAAAGTCACCATATCTCTCCCCGGCCTCTTGGTTGTGGTCCGCAGATAGCTAGATGCTTTTGTTGGCGGGGTGGCATTTCCACCGTTTGGCAATCGTTCCTAAGGTCGGTGGGCCACCTCGTCAGTCAGAGTTGTCTTTATACACGTATCCTTTAATATATCCGGGTATGAAGAATTTTCGTCTTCCCCACTGCGGGCTCTCGAGGTGTAATTGGTAGCACGTCCGGTTAGAAAGCGGAAGATCCGAAGTTTCAGTATAAGTGATAAGTCTAGCTGAAGTTTCGTTTTTCCAAGTTCGAAAAGTCTAATAGCATTGGCCATCAGCTAAAATGTGGCGGACAAACTTTTCGCACCAGTTGGATTCGGCAGCAGAGTCTCATTCCTTCCTTTCCACTTACCTTTTAAGTCGGGGGAGGGAGGGAATGTAACAGATTTCTCTTTCCCATTGCTTACTCTCGAGGTCTGAATGGTCGGCACATACGGCTAGCACTCAGAGCATACAGAATTCGAGTCCCGGCGTGGGCAGAACTAAATTTTTATATTTTCTGCTCCGAAAACCTGCCAAACAGCTGTGCACGAGTATTTGAGATTTTCTGCAATTAATATCAAAATCTTGCCTCACCTGATTGATTTTATGCTTTGTCCTTAATTTTACCTCGGTTACCTTCTATTTCTTTTCATGTTAGTGACCATTATTTTTAATCATCACTTTAAGTCGGATATTTTTACCACAAATTTACGTGCCTTTACTGATCGGATCATAGTACGCACTAAATTTTGCTAATGTACAATAAATTGCACTTGACTCAACATGTATATCAATTTTAAAGCAGATGAGCCAAAATTCCTCACATGCATGACTATAAGCTATGGCCATATAGCGAAATTTAAAATAAGAATTTCATCCTTTCCGATTGCCTTACAATATAAATTATATCCTCATATATGAATATATATGAATTTTTTCCACCTGAGATGGCCTATTTCATCCATTTGAAAATTCTGGTATTTTTGGAAGCGCAATGTCCTATGGAAACCTTTTACCATTAACTAAATTTGATAAATTTATTGTATGAATTAGTTCTTTTTCTTCTTCACTTTGCAGGACCAACAGATCTCAGCATGAAGAAAAGTGGGCCAACCAACAGTGCAGTGAAGCATTCTCTGAATCCAAGTGAAGTGATCGCCGTCAAACAGCTAATCGCTGGGTACAGAGAATCAGCTGCTTTCTTGCTGCGATCAGCAGACGAGCTGGAACAGCTTCTATTACAGCAAAACTGAAACATCCTAAAAATGAAATTCGGCGCTTGATGAGGCAAAGGTGGCCTTCAAATACTCTTTTACTGGGAGAGTGGTTTTAGAGCTGAACTCATCTTTTAGTAGAATAACTCAGTGGCGGAATAATGACCACTGTGCCCCAGCATTTTCAAATAATAATTTTCTAGAGGGGCAAAAAATATTTTTTAAATAAACATTCCTTGAGCTTTGCTGCCCGTATGATGGGAAATTCGGCTGGACCGATTATTACGAATTTTTTTATATTCAAAGAACTTAACATTCATGAAATTTCGAATGGCGTTTTAAAATGTGTTCATAATGTTATCTTAAATGTATATGGTAGACCTGTTGCGCATATAAATTTTCACCTGTCTTCTAAATGTAAGCCTTATACAGAATTCATGCGCACTATTTTTTGTACGTTGCCGTTTTACTTGTTGAAACTGATTCAAAATCAGTTTCACCGAGTGAAATGAATTGCATTAAGTCCATTTTATTCATTCGTGTATCTCTGAGCTTCATTTAAATAAGTGAAGGCATTTCTAATTTTCTGATTTTTTTCTTCGTTTTATTTTAGGGTTATTTTCAGATTTTTTAAAGTTACACATACAGAATTTTCCTTCAAAGGATTTTACCAATTAGCAAACTTCACGTAAAGCGTTCATCTTAAAATTATTTTGCGAAATGAACAATTAGAACGTATATAGCTTAAACTTATCATTATTATCACAGTCCAGACTATCTTTTATATGCACTTCAAGTTTAGAAGTTGTGAAAAGGATTTATAGTGCAATATAGGTTTTTTTACTATAAAATGTTTAAAAAATTGTGAGATTTTTATATTAGATTATCTTTTGTTAGATTTATCTCTTTTGACTTTAAAGGGATCTTATAATGCGCGAAATAATAGAAATAAGTTGAACATTGTGGAAAGACATATTTTGAATTTGTTTCATATTCAGAGATATTTACGTAACATGAATCAAGTGCTATATTGTAATTGTAAGGTGTTTTTGATGTTAAAAATTAGCATAATTTTTCAAACTTAAGGCACGTTTCGTATTTCTTCCCCGTTTCATTACTTCGTGGAGAAGTTCTTCAAATATTTCTTGAGGAAAGTAAGTAGTTTACTTTATAAAATTATAAATTTCTTTGAGATATTTTCTAATTTTACAAACTTAGATTTTTTTTCACTTTTAAAGTTTCTCTCCCCCAAGTATGATAGTTCATGCTTTGCTTGCCAATTTTCAATATCTGCATTTAAATAAGTGAAGCATTTCTTCAGTTCGTCATCCTGAATTTTTCTTTTGCCATTTTGCTGATATTCACTGTTGCTATAACTGTTTGATTTCCGATTTATTTTGCTGCTAATTTTTAAAATCCCGTATGGTTGGGTTCTAAATAATTATTGCCGAATTCTGGTAACACTTTTATTTCATAAAATTGTTTTTTTGTACTTCCAAGGTTTAATATCTTAATTTCTTTGAAATTTATTTTCCTCTTGCTTAATTTTTTATTCTCTTAGTTTCAAATTTTAAGTTCGCTGGTATTGTATTTTTAATTTCCTCTGGGACTTTAAAAACTTGAGATATCTGAATATTTAATTTTCTGTATTTTTCCTATTTAGCTGTTATATCAAGCATGTTTGTTCCTTTGTTGAAATGTATATTCTAATATTCCTCTGGTTCCGCCACTGAGGTTGCTATCTAGAAATGTTCTATTGAGGAACACTATATGGGTGGACTATATAGGAGGCATGTGAATTCAAGCCTTGTCTCCTTATATTTTTGGCCATTAATTTTTCGGCCAGTGTTTTTGTAACTGATTATTGGTGTCCAGTGTTTAATCGAGTATTACTTTTCTAAGTCTGTATTGAGACTCTATTTTATTAACAGGATTCGTAACGAAGGTATCACAGCCAAATATTGTCGGCAAGAATTCTTTCTTTTTAGAAGTGTTTGTAGTTTTTAGCGTATCATCGTCACTGCCATCTCGTCACTGAAATTAATCGTGTAAAATTTAAATGCATTTAAAATTCGTTTATGTTCTTTTTCCTTCGGTCAACACGTGAGAAAAGTATGTTTATTCTTAACTCTAGCACTAAAGAATTTGTATAGTTTTCTGTGGCATTAAACCGAGTGCAATATTGGTGACGAGACGTAATGCATGTGGTACGCTACCTTGTCAGTATAACTGATTAAAATTTTTTATTAGTATCATATCGCTCAGTAAAAAATATCTCGTTTAAATATCGAAATGTAAATTTTTGGGTGCTTATTACATTTTAAGGAATAAGGTATGCAGTTAATTGTTAGATTTCTAACACCTTTTATTATCTTAACGCAGAGATTCTTTTCCTACAATTTAATATAAGATTTTTTAAGTCCTGAAGATTGTAATACTAACTAAATCATGTAAAAATAACTTCCAGTTAGATAAGTAGTTTGATTTAGCTAACTGATTTTATGATAGATCTTGAAATGCACATTGTACATGTTGCTAAATAATGAACCTGACATTACTTGCATTAAATATTTCCAAGACGTAACGAAGTTTACCCATTTTCATTCTTGAATGAATATTCTGTACTTGAAATACTTAATTTACTTAGAATGTGGTCTTCTTTGTCACTAAAGGAAACTTTTAGCAAACACATTTTTTTCAAAAATAATTTCCTATATCCAATAAAGCTTATCTAATTTCTCAATGATAGCAATTACTCAGATTTATATTGCTTCATGAATGACCATTTATCAATAAAACTGATAGAAGTTTCTGAGCTGTATACTATGGAAGCATGTTTCCTTCAGTCTTTCCAGTATTTGTAATATTTAAAAATATTTCCTTTCGCATCTTTTTCCGGAAAACCGAATTTTTCGCAGTGCATACCTCGGTTTTCATCATAGAGCACTTTATATAACTGTTATGCAGTTTTATATATATGGTTTGGATGTATGGTCGAGAGAACAAAAGAAATACGCTGAAGCGTCACACAGAAATTAAAATTTTTAATAAAGACTCAGCATTTTTATTCTTTGAGTTCCTTGATGAAAATGGGTACATTTACGCAAATCCTTTGATTGAGAAACAATTAATAGAAATATGTAAAAAATGATTTTTGCTATTTTATGGCTTCTCATTATAAATTGTTAAATATGTTTTCATATTGAGATTCCCGTTAAACTAGGCAAATTGCACCATTGAAAAGATATTCTTACGTCAAAAATGTGCTTAACGAAGCTAAGACTAAATGATCACTTTAAACATTCATTTCTGAAAGAGCTATCTAATTTAGAAATTCCTGAACAAAATTTCCGTGTCTTTAAAACTGTAACATAAGTGCTTAAGCAAATACGTTTCGCAGTTCTATTTACTAACTTATTTTAGTTCTAAAATATGAAGCATTTTTTGCTCGCGTATTAAGTAGAAAACCTAAACATACATTTATATTTTTATAAAGCTTTAATTCCGTGTGCTAGTATTCCAGTTGCTTTAGTTACAAATCATTTGCTGTTGATACTAAGTTCCGATTTAAATATTGTCCGTACAAATATGAATATGCTTGTGATTCTCTTTACATGCAAACAAATATATTTCATAAAAATAAGCAAATACATAAAAATTATTAGATCTTAGAAATAAAATTGTTTTCTTTAAAAAATTTAAATTAAAGGATTAAATTAATGTAGGAATTAGAATTTGGCATCAGTTCATCAAATTTAGTATCGCATAATAAAGGAACTATCCGTATGTGCGCCATAACATTATTATCAAGCGTACTTCGAGAAATAACTTAGAATACAGTAAAAATTTAAGCCAAATAAATTATAATTAAGCTATTTCATAATCAAATTAAGTTTTCAATATTTTTTTTTAAATCTGAGTCTGAATATTGTGTAAAATAGTTTCTTACATGCCTCAACGTTCTTCAGAGTTGAGCAATTTAGAAGCACATATGAATAATTCTCACTATTTAAAACCTTTGTCCTTTCCATTCTGTATAAAATTTTGCCCGATCAAGAGCGATTTTAAGTGTTTTGTAATTATATTTCTGTTGTGTAAATGTTACTAAAACCCATATTGTAAATAAAAATAAGAAATGAAATGTGCATTTTAGGTGTCGTAAGTGAATTATATTTGGTATCCGCCATTTTTTAAACATTTTGCCTGATAATTTTAGATAAACACTTTTAATTATCAGGTAACTCCATAATGTGACACAAAATGTTTGACCTTTATGTCTTTGACTTCAAGATCTGTACTTTTATCTCTCGTCTCCACTTCAAGAGAATTTTTACACAGTGCACTCGAATCTCTGCTTAACTATAGTGAAATATTTACCGATGGAATAGTGATAACCAGACTTCCTCTATGATGCTAGTTCAAGTTTGAGAACAACTATAGTTTCTCCCCACCAAGAAAGAGAATGCAATATTCTCTCTCGTCGAGCTTGAATTTTTTACAATCTCAATATGGACTCGAAAGTTAAGGAGTCCAGAAATAAAATCCATGAATATTTTGAGGGTCTGTCATGAATAAGCCTTTGTAAGAGAAAATAAGAAAAAAAAATGCTTCCTTATTTGGTACATCACTGGGCAAATATGTCTATTACTTACAAAATCATGTTCCATTGTTGTAACTGTAATATGATAGTACCATTACAGTTGTAAGAATGCTGATATGATAGGATATTTCTTTTGTTGATTTAGATACCTCAAAGTAGGTAGGTACACACTGAGCGAATACAGTGCTCTTGGTACACTTATTCGACTAGCAGTTTGACTAATAGTTACAGATTTCAAAGCCAGTAGAACAAAAAATGTAATTAAAATCTAATCGTACCCTTCAACATATCTATATTATAAGTATCTTTGAACTGAATCCTAGCGATCACTTTAATGTTCAGTATTTTTAGTATTCAATACAGATTACTGAACAGTTAATGTAGTTTAAAACAGTTGTTTAATCGCTCACTGTTCTTATAAGAAATGGCGCTGAGAAATGTGTTCTTCAAATTCATTGAACTCACATGTTTCGATCAAAATGATTAGCAAAATTTAGCTGTCATATACCTTACAAAAGTAAACGCTGATTTTTAATAAGTCTCATATAAGGCGTATATAATTTATATATCAAAATTCTATGTTTTAGTTTCAGATATCCATTTGAAGTACTTTTCCAGTTATACACGCATAGAAAGCGTCAGAAATTGTAATTATTCTAGTTTAAACGTTTTTTTTTTTTTTTTTTTTTTTTTTTTTTTTTTTTTGTTTGTTTTTTAATTTTTTATAATTTCCATAAATAAAAACAGTGAAAGAAAACATTCACCCAGTATTATAATATATGACTGAATTGTTGAACAGCAGTTAGTAAAGGAAATAGGCAGCACGATCCGCTCAGTGTGTAATTAATTCCTTTATGGAAATATTTTCTCTACGAACAGAAGATCATAACTTAGAACAGTATTCTGCTGACCATTTCCAGCAGAGCTGTCATTTAGTATTCAATTTTTTGTAAGATTTTACAAATCGAAATGGTCACCCTGAAGATAGCAAGATTTTTGGCTTAGCTTCATATCACCTAGTCCAAAAAGTTTTATATTCCGAGGTTTGCTTGGATTTAAACCTATACCAACGAGTTTTTCAAATAGAACAAAGCACAGTTATATATCTATAATATACATATATATATAACGTAAAATACACATATATATTAAACGAAAAACCATATAACATCATTCTTGATTCTTTCAGCTGCGCACATTTTTTTCACACTGCACGTTTTTATGAATATTATCATCGGATTCAAAACTAGATGTTCTCTTTTAGGGACTTAAGGTATATTACAGAATGTATTAATCGGTTTGAAGGGAATGTACAGTTTAACTCTAATATGCCTCGTCGTAAAACTTTATGTACTGAGATAAACCTTTCATGAAAGATAAGCATTTCCTAGAAGAATTTTATTTCATTATGTTTTTGTGTATGTGTTACCATCTTAGAGCTCTATAAAATGATTGGTCAAAGTTTTAGGAATTAGATAAAACGAAAATATAATTTCAAGAAACATGATTTATGGCATTTTCATGTGATCTGTTTCAGATGACAAATCGCTTAAGTTGCATAAAAATTGGTTAGCTCAGTAACAAAAGAAAAGTCCTTTGTCTTCTGTTTCTATTTTCAAGAAAATTAAAAAATAGTTGCGCATTAGTATAATTTTCGTTCTGTATACACTGAATCCATACTGTTTTCTAGGTAATTATTTTCTTTTAAGTTACAATGCGAAATGTAATGTATTTGTAAAATTGTTGTAACATATCCAGTTTGAAAGTAAATGTTGAAAGTGCACAGGTAAATAATGTTGCTATCAAATTCCAAGAACGCATTTAATGACATCTACTAATGCAGTATTTTATATACAGTGTAAAAACAGTTCAATTGAATCTTGTTTTATTGTTTCATAAAGCAACTAAATAATTCGTTTTTATCCGATTCAAAGAAATTTGTTTAAAGATTACTACTTATTACAGATCATTACAGATTAAAGAAGCTATGATAAATTTAACCGTTGTGTCCAATTTTATACTTCACTGTGTGTTTAAAACGTTGCAAATGTTTTCCCGCTACTAACGTACAAACTAAAGCAAAAAAAAAAAAAAAAAAAAAAAAAAATCAGTTTCTTCGAGCTGCTATTCGGTAGCGCTCAGTTACGTTTAAGAAAAAGTACATTAAACTTTTCCATGTAAACTTTCCAAGATTATTAGGTGGCCTTGTCTTAAGTTTCATTCCACGTGCTATAAACAAGTAATAGTCTATATTTAAGTTAAAAAAATACTTCTCAGTACAATTCAGATCGTTTGTGCTAACGGAAGACGGCACAAATTTCGATACAGGAAACGACATGGGGAAGGGGAATTTGCCCCAATGAATGAAATAGTTAACCTGAAAATTTGTGCCATTCTTCCAAGTAAAGTGCGAAAACTTTTGCCTGTAACAGACGGCTTAGAAAAATATTTTTTCCGCAGAAGACACTTTATACAAGCTCATTTAATATGTATTTAGGTTTACCGATGGTAACATATGCACTACGTTTCTTGTTAACTATGATCTGAAAAACTGTAACTCAACGTTTCCCAAATAATTTACGTCCTTCCTAGGCCAGACGTAATATTTTAGCACAGTTATAAATTTGTCCTGATACATTTTGTAATTCAGAAAACAAATTGCAGTATTCAAGCTAACAACAGCAGCCACATTCAATAGGAAATTTGCTAAAAGTTAAAATTTTAAAATAACTTTTTTAAGTAAGTTGGCTATGGTAAAAATTTCCTCGATTTGGGCTTTAATGTGTTTTGCAATTAAATGAAATTCTAAGCATTCAATCTAATATCAGGAACCAAATTCAATATGAAATTCGATGAGAATAAACATCTGAAAACGATGTTTTTTCACATGTCTGGGTATCACAGAAAAACTTTTCTTTACTTTCAGGACGTTAAGAAATTCCTAAAACAAGAAATGTAGAATAAAAAAATTTGGAAAACGTTGTTATTAACTTGTAAGTTTTGACCTCCAAATTGTATGTAATATTTTGAATTCCATTCTGTGAAACACTGTTAATTGCAAATATTATTGCTACGGAAACTTATAATTAAATTTATGTTCGTCTTTTTATAAAATTATCTGCCAAAAAATTGTCTTCTGAAGTAAACCTCTTCATATATTTATTGCATTTATACTTTAAAATGTATACATGGAAGAAAATGTGAAATATTTCTAATTAAATTTTAATTTTTTTCATACCGAATACGGTTCCATACTCTCGGTGCTTATTTTAGAAGCACCATCATCTATTTTAACATAATCATTCCTGTGATGGTTCAATGAGGACCAATAATTATGATATATTCCAAGCTGAATGAGGCAGAATTACTAAGTTCCTGTTCATATATTTTAATCAGATTAAAAGTGTACTAATTACGCATTTCATCATGACAACGTAATATGTAACTTTGTGTTGTCATAATGAAATTCCTTGAATGTGAGACAAAAATCCGTAATTTTGCCTCATCAGTTTAATTTTTCATCTCCATTGTTCCAAACAATAAAGATTTTTTGGTGTTTTCTTTTGCTTAATAAAGATGACAATTGTAAACGAGATGTTCATGTTTTTTTGTGTCAGATCATTTTAATTCTTCAATCTACAGACCATCTATTTGCAACTCCAAGAGGTTTAGCAACTGCGTCTTTACTGGTATCTGAACAAATTTACTCTATCTTTCAAACATTAAGCGTTATAAGCATTAATCCCGTGACATTAAAATCGAAATAATACAAATGTTACGCTTTGATATTGATAAAATCTGCAATAAAATATTCACGTAAATTATATGCATTATAATATAGAAAATATTCACGTAAATTATAATAATACAAAAATTAAATAAAAAAATTTCGAACTTTGTTAACTTTACAGGTTTTACTTACGCCTAAGATTATTGTATTTATATATATCTAATAAACTTAGAAAATAAAAAATTAAACTTAAAAATCCGAAATAATTAAATTTAAAATAAATTCAAAGTAAATTCAAATATCACACTGTACTTTGCAATAATGGAAAAGGAATGGCACAAATATTGCAAAAAACACTATCAATGAACTGTAAAAGCAATAAAACACAAGAATAGTACAAAATAGCAAGGATTTTACATCTAAACAGGCACATCTTCTTCAAGGAGTTGGTATACCGAAACATGCAAAAGAAAATTTATGTTAAGTCTACAGATGCGCAATTAAATTTAAAATATGAATGAAATTTGTAACTAACTGCGCATCTTCCAACAATTCTCAACGGGCAGGAAATAAAAATATCTACTAAGAAGTGTGTGTGTGATTATGGCAAAGCCTCGAGGGCTATCTCGCCTAAGGGAAGGGACGCCTTCGCGGAGGACTTTCTAAGGGAAACTGGCTCGTATACACGTTACACATGGGGAAAACCACGAAAACGCCCATGAAGCCATACCCGTTCGCGGGATTCGAACGTCGGACCGAACTACCAGTATTCAGCGATTTTAGTGCTCGGCCGCTGGTGAGCCATCTACCAAGAAGAAAAAAAAAATTTAATTAAATTATGAAATGTGTTGTTAAACAAAAAATGCGATTTGAAAACAATTTTTGAATAAAGAAATTTCCAACTGTAGACCTAGCAAAAATAAACCAGTATCTTTTAGTGAGAGAAAATATTTATATAAAATTCATGAAAATTTTAATTCAGTTCAAACGAGTACAATTATTGCGAACAATTAAATAAAAAAACCTTTTTTAATAATTGCAATTTAATAGGATATACCAAAAAAGAAGTAAGAGCAAGAATGCAAATAATTTAACCCTAATATATGAAAAATGCATAGAATTTATTAGTGCCACTTACTCAGGTAAGTTTTTTAATGCAACATACATAGATAAAATCGTTAATTAAATGGAAATCAAACTTTTCAGTTAGAAATGTCAGGTTTTAGAAAAATATTTTTATATCTTAAAATTAACGAACGAAGTATAATTAATATTTATCACCCAATTGACTGTGATGTTTGAATTTATTTATTAAAACATTAAAGTAAACATTATTGTAAATTGAAGCGAACAATTATTGTCTAGCGACTATTCGCTGGTCTTCTTACCAACTATAGAGATAAGTCGAAAGAGGCTTAAAATACCCTTTTATTCTCTCACAGAAATAATACTGTCGACTTCTCTCAGGTTTACAGGAAAGCCTCCATTTAGGCTTTAACGTAAGATAGAAAATACGAAAATAAACTAATTCTAACTGACTTGTAAGGATTTATGTTAATTTTATGAACAGTTAAATTTTAAGTTCCTTTCCTGTCAAATTCTTAACTTCATCTTACTACTTCCGGCCAGAACGTACTTTTAGAATCACTCTGAATACATGATGAGGAAGAGCGGTATATAACCGCGAAGTTCTAGTTGCTGAGTTAGAGAGAATCAGAGCTACTGATTTGCGCGCGTCTGCCTTTTTTGGCTACTCTCTCGCAAAGCTGTTATTACGCTCGGCCGTACTCAAGCCATTGATAGCTTCGCAGTCAATTAGCGTTAAGGGGGACAACTCGGTTAGAATCTTGATAGCTTCGGCTATATCTCTTTAGTTTAGATTAGTTTTAGTTTATTTCTTTGTCTCTTAAGTTCAAGCCCAAGTGTCGGCTTTTATTGTACACTCCAAGTCGGAGTTTTGTTAAATCTTATTTGAATAATAAAGGGTTAGTTACCCTTCCATCTTTGTTGTTTCTTGTCACACGAACTTCAGCGATTATTCGCTTAGCAGTTCTTAAGCTTCTTCACGTTCAACTGTAAATTAACACTTACAAAGTGAGAAACTCTACGTTTGGCCCCGGAACGTTTCAACGGATCATGTCGTTAGAATCCTGGAAATTTACGTTGACCCCTCCAGTCTTTCAGGTCCCTCAAACGTCCACAAATCCAATGGAAGGATTCGGATTTATCTTGGAAACAATGCGGGCCTTCATGAAGTCAACAGCAACATTTGACGGCGAAGGTTCAATGATGACCTTCCTAGACCAACTGGACCTGCATTTTACCTTATACCCAGTTTAACCAGCTGCAAAAAGTAACCATCACGGCAACAAACCTAAGAGGTCAAGTTCTCAGCTGGTATAAAAGGATTGGAAAGTTTTTGTTGAGGGACCCAGGATAGGAATCGTGCAACTGGGAACATTTTAAGTCGGCATTACGGAAAGCATTTCCAGTTGTAAAAGACCGTGCGAAACTAGAATCGGAATTGTATTGTAAATACTAAAGCAGTTTCGAGGAGTTGACGGAGTTCATTCTAAGGAAAATCCAAATCTTCACCTAACTGTACGGGAAGAGGCCAGATAATGAACTCATCGAAGTGATTTTACCCCGTCTACTACCGTCAGCTCAAGATTTCCTCGAAGTTCGTAACCCGCAAACACTAGAAGATCTATTCCAACTTGCGGTGAAATTCCAAAGCAGAAGAAACTGAGAAAGCGCCGGCAAATCAGTTTGGCCAACACTCAAGGTTTACTCTTCAGAAGAAACCCCAAGTTCAGAAGAATGCATATCAGCAGATGGGAAAAGGTGAAAATTCTAATAACAAGAGTGTGGAGAAATCAAAGGGTGGCGAAAAGAAAAGTCAGCGTAAAGAGGCGGCGGGGAACCAGAATTTAAAGTGGAAGAGTGGAGAGAAACGCCCCTCAGAAATGCATTTAAATACAGTGGTGGTACAAAATCTAGCTATGCCACAGATACACATTCTTGTAAATAATGTACCATCCACTGCGCTCCTGGACACAGGGGCTAAATGTTCATTTCTCCCAGAAGACTTTTTCAAGAAGCATTTTCGTCGTTGCAGACTGTTTAAAGACACGGGACAAAAAGTAGTTGCCGCCCAAGGCAAACAGTGCGTATGTTTAGGAAAAACCGCACTGCACGTACAAATTAAAAATGAGGTGTCAAAAGTTAATTTTTTAATCGTGAAAAATTTACTCACGTCCGTCATATTACGAGTCGATTTTTTACGCGCATCCGGCGCAAATCTTAATTTCCAGAATTCTACGTTTCAAGTGCACATGGATCCCGTGGAAGAAGATGAATGTTCCATGCCGGAAATGGGATTAGACCACTTGAAGCCTGAAGAGAAAGAAAAGCTTGAAAAATTGGTAAGAAAATTTAATTCTTTGTTTAAGGACAAACCCGGCTTCTGCCAAGTAGTTAATCATTTTATTGACACAGGCAATTCCCCTCCAGTCGGATCGAAGCCCTATAGATAAA